AAAAAAAAAAAAAAAAAAAAGGAATCTTGGGTCTCATACAGTGATCCGATTGATGAAAAGGAAAGGATTAATCAAATACTATCGATTCTGACTCAGAGTAATTATTTATCCATGTGATTTTGGGTATCTCTACTTACTGGAACAGGGAGTTACTTGTGGAAGAATGGTTCCGCACAATCTCAATCTCTCTGTATGCCATCATGTAATTGTCTGGTATCTATATTGTCCTTTTCTGCGCTGAGTAATCTAGGGCTCCAAATGACTAAAATTCTGATTGAGGGTCTAAGTTTGCGAGGCTGTATCTGTACTGATTATTCTAGTTATTGAATTTGAAATTTGATTTTTGGTTAGTTTTGTTACTGTTTGGAAAAAAAGGCAATTGTATAAGTAATTGAATTTGTTATTTGGCGTGGTAGCCTTTGCATGTAAATTGGCAATTCCCTGTGTTTTCAAAATTATTTCTATGGCTTCATTATCTGTGAAGCTGGATGCACATCCCTTGCATTATTGCATTTTGTTTGCCTGTGCATGTAAACTGAGTTTGTCAGTATATAAAGTCATTAGTCATGATGATACTGAGCAGTCCTTTTCATTAACTCCACTCATAGGTCCTTTACCTAAGTTTTTCACCTAGAGAAGCATTGCATAATTCTGTATACTGCAGGTTGCAGCAGTCCCTGAGGATGTTGGAACAGCTGGTGCACTGCGGGCCATTGCACACCACCTGACTGCAAAAGACATTTTGGTTAGCATCTAGATATCCTTTTTAGTATTTTGACTTCTTAAAAGTTTTTTCTTACATAGTATTCAACTGTTTGTGTGTGTGCAGGTTGTGAGTGGTGATATTGTCTCTGATGTTCCTCCTGGTGCAGTAGCTGCTGCTCATAGACGTCATGATGCAGTAGTAACTGCAATGCTTTGCTCTGCTCCTGTAAGTGGACCTTCAGAATCAGGATCTTCTGTTGGAAAAGATAAAGCCAAAAAACCTGGACACTACAATATCATTGGGCTGGATCCCACAAAGCAGTTTTTAGTGTACATAGCAACCGGTTAGATAATTTACTTTTCCTTTTATTTAGCATGCAGCCTTACATGTTCCTCATTTAGCTTCTTTCGGTTCTTAGTAGGAGCAGAACTTGGAAAAGATATTCGAATTCAGAAGAGCATACTCCGCGCAGTTGGCCAGGTAATTGGTTTCCCTCTGTGGATTGTCTTGTTTCTTTCGGTAGACTAGACAACAATTACTTGGCTGGTGAACTTCAATGGGCATAAGCTTAATGCGCCCACATAACTTTGTAAAGCTATTCTCTCATCTTGGACATCATCATATAAAAAATTATGGGTTATTGATTTACTTCATGCTTATCATCACCACTACATTGAAACTTCTGTTACGGATTTGATTAATTCTTTTCAGGATGGCATTCCAGCTTTCTAACGATAGGGGTGTTACAGTTTGTCCCCCAAATCTTTTCTTCTTTCAGTTTACCCTCTTGATTATGCTTGTCTGTTAATCTGGGGTCTCCCCCCAATGAAAATCTCTGTTTTAAAAAAAATGATGGGTTGCTGTCCAGTTCCATCCAAGACTCTGTTAAATAAGGTCATTTTCCGTGGGTATGAACCCTTTATTAAGGGAAGTTTGGTCATTCTTTTCCAATTTTATTTATTTCCCTTTTCATATCTCTTCTCACTCTTTTTTCTTCACTGCAAACTCTCTCTCTGCCATTGACTCTCCTACATTTGTTCTCTCTCTCTCTCTCTCTCTCTCTCTCTCTCTCTCTCTCTCTCTCTCCCCTTTTTCTGCTTGTTCTTGCTTGGGTTAATGGGATTTAGGGATTGGCATTTCGCTGGGTTTGGGTCACTTTGGGTATTGGACGGCTGGGATGACTTTTATGGGTGGTTGGTGGGGGGTGGGTTGTGGTGTTTTATTTGGCTGTGGGTGCTGGGTAAATGTCCAATGATTTGGTTTGGCTGTTGATTTGCGGCTGGGTTTTGTTTGATATTGATGGTGTTTAAGGAGATTACAATATGGAGTAATTTGATGAGCTTGTTTACTGGACTTAAAATTTATTTTCCTGATTTTGTTTGGTTATGGCTTGGTTTCTTTGGGTATTTTAATATTGCACAAGTTTGTACAAATTTTGTAATGGTTTGGTTAGCTTAGTGGATTCTCTGTGGTATTGGGTTTGGTTTGCAAGTTGTGTGGGAAATATGAATATTTTGTTTAAGCCTAGATTCTGCCTCTTATCTAGCACATGCTCAATAAAATGTCCCAACAAGAGCAATAGCCATGGAAATCATGAAATATTTAGCTATTGTGGAGTTGGTTATAAAGCTTGTGAAATGTACTCTGAGTTGGGTACTCCGATGGTTGGGTATTCAAAGTTAGTGGTTGATATGTCAGTTGTGTTTCTTTTATATGTTAGTTTCAGCTGGGTACTCCAACTGAATTGAATTCAGTTTTTCCTATGACTCTTGGAGCTTTTTGGTTGATCAAGTTACAATAAAGGGTTGCATATTTGGGAATGGGGCGGGGAAAGAAGAGTGGACACGGAAAGAAGAAGGGAGCCAGAAGAGAGAAGAGGCAGGGGAAGTGAGAAAAATACCCTTGAAAAAGAGGTCACATGGCGCATTTAACAGAAGAGTGAATGGAACTGGACAGAGACCCTACAGTGCATAATCTATAGGGCAAACATTTTTTTAGGGGGCAAATGATAACACCTCAGTTCAAGGGGCATTGCTGTAATTTCCGTACTTTATTTTTTGTTGCTATGTATATTTCTTCGAAGCAATGGAAATTTTTATTAAGTTAAGAATTGTCAATTCAAATGTCATTTAACCTTGATATAAGGTTTTATAGGTTTCTGCATATTCTTACACTTCTTTTTTTCTGTGTAGATGGAAATTCGATCTGATCTCATGGATGCTCATTTATATGCATTCAAGAGGTTATAACTCCTTTCTTTTTGCTTATAAATAATGCTTGTTTCATGCACAAATTGTTCTTTTTACATGCTTACAATATATACTTTTATTCCCTCCTAGGTCTGTTCTGCAGGAAGTTTTGGATCAAAAGGATACATTTCAGAGTTTAAAGCAGGATGTATTGCCTTATCTTGTTCGCTGCCAGCTGGTTAGTCCAGTGAGTTTCCTTATTAGATTCCTTTAGGATACTGGCCCTTCTAAAACATCTGACTAGTTCATATTTCTTTGTATTAAAGAGTTCAGAAGTGTTGTTAAATGGTGCACCACAAACAGAAGAAAACGGAAATGAGAAGGCCAGTTCTCAGAACAACCAATTAATGCTATCTCAAATCCTGGCTAATTCATCCACTCCAAGTTTCCATGAGCTCTATGCCCTAGGTCCTAATGGCACTACTCCTGTTCGAAGAACCCATAAATGCTGTGTTTATATTGCTGGAAAGAGCAAATACTGTGTGCGTTTAAATTCCATTCAAGCATTCAGTGACATTAATCGAGATGTGAGTTTAAGAGCTTTAAGTTGGGCATTTCCTATGATAATCATCTGTTCTACATTTTCATTCTGTGCAACCTTTTGGCATGTCCACATGCTGAATTCTGAATTCCTGCCAGGTCATAGGAGACGCTAGCCATTTGTCAGGGTATGCCTTCTCTGCACAAAATAACATCATTCATCCATCAGCAGAACTTGGATCAAAAACAACTGTAAGTCAGTATGTACATTTCAAAACAATGGATTGCCAAATTAGCATTAGATCTTGTCGACCTTTCGGACAATTTTGGGAAAGTTTAGGTCACTGCGCTGGGTGACTTCATTTTAAGGTTATTATGGTACTCATCAGCTGGTGGGACTTTGTTTTAGGTCGGACCACATTGCATGCTTGGGGAAGGTTCACAAATGGGTGACAAATGTAGTGTTAAGCGATCTGTTATTGGCCGTCACTGCCGGATAGGTTCTAATGTGAAGGTAAGGTGATTTGTTTATCTTTAAAGGTCGGAATTAAAAATAAATAAAAAAGTGTATCTAGCTTTTTTATATCTTCTCTGTGTCTTTCTGATTAATTACAATGACAGATATCTGGAGCTCAGATAAATTTATCAAATTTTAATGTCTAACATCTGCAGGTTGTGAATTCAGTTGTTATGAATCATGTTACCATCGGCGATGGCTGTTCGATCCAAAATTCAATTATTTGCAGCAATGTACAGCTCCAAGATCGCGTTGTACTAAAAGATTGTCAAGTAAGCATACTTTCTTTTGGATCTCTCTCCTTGCCTCTCTTCCCCTTCTGTCCCATGCAGCGGCTGGTATCTCATTATTATGTTAGTTTGCCTTCCAGGTTGGTGCAGGTTTTGTGGTTACTGCTGGTAGTGAGTGCAAAGGGGAGGCATTGGCTAAGAAAGAGAAATGAGCGAAAGGGAGTCCGTGGCCACGAAATGATAGTGGGAAAGTTTTAGTTTCTGTCTTGTGCTTCAATAGATTTTTTTGATTGGTGGCAATGAGCACAAAGTGAAATGGGAAAGATAATCTCCGAGTGTAGCTTTTCGTCCCCATCTGCCTTTTGATTTTATTGGTTCTCTCGTATCTAATCAAAGCATTTCCAATATATGTTGTCAATTTAGAGAATAGGTAGAGGACTAGCATCAGTTTTGTCAAATAGTTTCCTCGTATCTAAGTTATTATCTCAATGAGTTGTCAGGAGAAAGCCTTCTTGTATTCGCAATGATTGTTTTTTGTATTTGTAATACAAAAATCTAATATGGACTCTTCTGGTTTACACAATGGGGGTTTCGCTGCTTGATATGTTTATTATGTTTTGGAGTAATGCTATTTGGACACACAACATTGACACGCTTAGTGACACCCGCTGATGTGTCAATGTATCATTTGGTCTTCTTTTCTCCTCGTTTTCTGTTCAGCGAATGATACATTGACACATCAGCGGGTGTCAACTAAGTGTGTCAATGTTGTGTGTCCAAATAGCATTACTCTTATCTAAATTAGGTAAAATTGAATTATTATCTACCACAATAGTAAACTTTCTATTGAGTTTAAACCAAAAGCTCCTTTTTTTATTTTTAGCTCTAATTATTAAAACAAATGAAAAAAATGGAGTCCGGGTAGTTTTAGGAAAGACTTCAATGGGAATGCTTGTAGTGACTTCAATTCATGCTCAACGCTATTCATGTTCACTTTGATTATGGAGCACCTTCTGGTGTACGCACAAGGGGGGTGTTACACCAGGCAACAAAACATAAGAGTAATGCTATTTGGACACACAATAGAAAGTTTACTATTGTGGTAGATAATAATTCAATTTTACCTAATTTAGATAAGGTCAATGACTTAAATATAGCACCTAATTTTACAATAATGTAATTAAAAAACCTTAAAATTAGACACATTGTCACTCCTATATTTTAACAAATTCATTTAAAGTCAATCACATTATGTCACATGTCTAAATCGGCCATCGCATTAAAACCTCATCCTTGTCACTAGCTTGGTTGTATGTCAAGCTAATATCTCAACCGTCTCATGGTAGAGCAGATTGCATTTGAGGAGGTGAGAAGAATTTTGGGAAGTCTTCAGCTATTTGTTTATTATTTTGCTGGAATTCTCTCTCTCTTCATTTTCCCCATCCTCTTCCTCTTTGCACATAAACTGCTCTACACCTCTCTCTCTTTTCTTTGACACTTTCAGAAAATCCTATCATTCTCTCATCTTAAGAGTAGGTAAGAACTTCAATAGTTGATGTCACTCAAACACCTAATCACTCATTAAGTCATCCCTTCATAACTTGAGCACATGTGATTGGGTTGAAAGGAAGCAAGAAGGAGCTTTGGGTTTAATTTGCTATTTGGTGTTACTTGCTGCAGTTTTTAAACTTCTGAGTTAGGGTAATAATTTGTTATTATTTTGATTCTAATTTAGTAATACATTTTTTACCTTATATATATGTATTATACCTAGTTTTTATGATGATTGTGCTTTGTATGAAGTTTCTGAAAACCGTGGTGTTGGTTTGTGTTTTATGAGCACAAGTGCAATCTGGTTTTGATCAAAGAAAGTACTTCAAAGACTTATCTCTTTGAAGGGTTTTGAGCTATACATATATGTAATTGAGTGAACTTATGTCTTGGGAGGAAAAAGAGTTTTGGAGAAAGGGGTTTTCTGAACTATTGTGACCTTTAAAGTGTTTTAAAAAGGTTAGACCAAGGAAAGAAATTTTGGGATATGATTGTTACTATAGTGCTTGTGCATTCTATTTGCCTATTTGCTGTTTGAGCGTGTTATATGCTAAGTTTCATTGAGTTTTTATTTCAATTTTGCAATTTTGCAATTAATTCATTTAGGTGTTTTCTTATAAGTATGTTTTAATGTGATCAAAAGCCAACTCCAATCACCTAATATTAGCAAGTAATGACTGTTTGTTCAAATATCTCACGGGGAGAATATTCGCGTGAAGATCCTTCACCTTTTGAACTTCCTTATCTCTCTTCTTCGATTCCTATAAAATTAAACAGGAGTACCACACCTGGGGGGGTGTTGGCCAAAGGCCCTTCGATGCCTAAGTTAGTTCGATTGGATCTTTGAGAAATAATAGCCAAAAAAGGGTACGGAGTTTTCTCTCACGGGGAGAGCTGGGTGGCCGAAGTTGTGTGTGGTGCCACTTGGCCGTGTGCTAGAGACGAGAGTGGTGAAGCGGCGGCTAGGGATACTGTTGGCTAGGAGAGAGAGAGAGAGAGAGAGAGAGAGAGAGAGGAATTTAGAATTACCTTGTGCATTGAATGTGGCCATTTATTAGGGCTCTAGCCATCTAGGGTTTTTCAGAGAATATCATCCTATTTGGAAGGTAGATATTCTTTCCCCAGAATGTAGAGATTGAGTCAATTAAGGATTTGATTGGGATCAAATCACTAATTGATGATGATCTCTTCAAAATAGGATAATCCTAAATTGGTGATATTATCTTATAATTGGTGATTATATTTCCAAATAAAGATAATATCCCTATTTTTAGTATCAATTAATTGGCCAAATAAATAGGCGCAATTAATTGACCTAGAAAATATTCTTTTTCTCCATGTGGCACCTCATGATTGGAAGCCAAAATATTTGCTCCCACAAATGCCCCTCAGCTTTTGCATGGCACTTGTGAGGCATGTAGGAGATGAAAAATACTCTTCAGATTTTTCAACTGCATCTGTGCTTTCTTCTTTGAGTTGGACTCCTTTTGCAAATTGGGCTCCCAATTGGAGTAGGCTTTTGACTTTTCTTGGAGTTGGGCTCCCAATGGGAATAGGCTTGTGATTCCTCCTTGACCTAGGATATCCAACCTTTATAAATACAAGGCTTCTCTTCACTCTTCTTCAAATTGCAAACTTATCTTCACTACTTCCTAGCTTGAGAGAGATCTTGGAGAATTGTAGTGCTTGATAAAGAGACGAGTCGCCGTATACCCCTAGGTAAGTCGAATGTAATTTTTTCTTCTTCTTTTCTTTTTCGCAGTGAGGATTGGTCAAGTGGGCTCGGTCGGTTGTTGTCGTGATAGTTACGGCGGCTGCCAGGGCCTTCTTCCCGCCCTTTTTTTTTCTTTCGCTTGCGGCGAGGCTGGTAGGCCTGGCAGCACGACCTACGACCTACGAGCGATGGGGAAGTGCTTGGGCTGCGTTGCGGCTCGGGCCTAGACTTGCGCAGAGGCTTGCTTCTTCTAGCGCAATTTGGGCTTCACATGCTTTTTCCTTCTTTTTTTTTTCGCTGTGTTGCTCCGTGGGTTTGTCGTTGCGGCTCTGTGGCTCAGGCTTTCCACTTGAGCATCTCTGTGGCTTGCCTTGCGGCTTAGGTCGCAAGGCCAATCCACAAGTTCTTTTTTTCTCGTAATATCTGACATGTATTTTGACTTGCAAAAATTTCTTTTCGTCTTGCAATTGTCCAGCCATCATGTCTTCTGAGGACGGTAGCCGATCACCAAGCTCACAAGTACCTTTGTACCTATGGGGAGGTTCCAAAGTGCACAAGAAGAGATTTGTGGCTAATTTACATCGCATTACGTCTGAAGCTCAGTTCCATAAGTGGGGTGTCACCTATGCTTTTGCCATACCTAAGCTGGCAGAGTCTTCGACCGATGATGCGCCTTGTGTGGATGCGAATGATCTAGATGCTAGGATTATCACATTTCGTCCCTTCTATTTCTCATTGGGCTTCACATTCCTATTGTCAAAAAATTTCATGAAAGTGTTCTGCGCTATAGAGTGTGCTCCAAGTCAATGTACTCCAAACGTCTACCGAGTGATCATGTGCTTTGAGAATCTGAGCTGTTTCTTCAAGCTGGACCAGACGGTGCGAGAGTTCTTCAACTTCTTCGAAGTGAGGCACTACGAGAAGTATGCTCAAGTCTGTGTGTGCAAAGCCAAGCTGTTTGAAAGCTTCAGCTAAGGAGATCATGAATGGCATGAATGGCATGCTAATGTGCTAGAGGTTAATAAACAATGGGAAAGTGAGGTTGGCAATGGTCCACTTGTTCCCATCACCTACTACGATGGTAGGCCATACTTCTGTTGATCTGCTTCTTTTTCTATTTGAATTATTTGATGTGTGACTAATTGACTTCTGTCTTCTGCTTGTAGAGAATTATATCTACAAGAAATTGGATCTTAGGTCGGACATGGTTAAGGTTCGCTAGGCTCTGAACATCCCTGCGAGGTTTTACAAATGGCGTTGCCTATTGAGCGAGTATCGGAACTGAGCTAGTGGTCTGCCCCCTGCCCAGGATGTTGAGAGATGGAAGCATAATGGTCTAGATTCAGATGATCTGCCTACCAAACAGGAGCAGTGCTTGGCCAAGCCCCTTCGAAGAGGAAGGCCGACACCAAGTCCTCAAAAGAAGAAGCTGTAACTTTGCGGGCAAGGGATATGTCTCCGCTGAGAAAGAAGCCAAGACTTCCTTCTGTTGTGGTCAAATCTACTTCGAAAGAGGTCCCATCGGCTGAGAACACTCAAGTAAGGACTGCTCCTTAGTCATCTGCCAGGGTAAAGCACCTTGTTGGCGCGGATAGTAGAAAGATTAGTGGCATACGAAATGTTCGGGACATTCCGCTCAAATCTCCAACTGATAAGCTCAAAAACTGCAATCTACCCTGTAAAGAGGTCCGTTCTCGAACCAGTTCACCTACCGAAAGGCAAAGAGATGCTGATATTCCTCTCCGAAGTTCAAGTCGCTTGCATTGGTCAAGGGATGAGGATCGAACTGGGAGGATTGCTCGTCCGCCTAACCATTGCGATCCAGCTGTTGAGTGTTGAGCCACGAGCAATCAAATATGGAGCTGATTCGACGTCGATGATTCTTTTGGAGTAGAGGATAACGGCAACTAAGAAGGCTAAAGAGTTATATGGTCTGGTGAAAGGTTCTTTGGGAGTGTGAACGACTGATCCCAAAGCCAATAAGTCCAACCCTACAAGGGATGCTTGTGTGTCTAATCTACTCAAGATGAACTTCATGTCGAGCCCGTCTGCTTGTGTCAAGTTGGTTGATCATATCCATCAGGCTGGTGACCTTGGCACATTTGCAAGTCTTTCTTTGGAGAAGCAAAAGGAAGCAGTTGTTCATTTGCTTCAAAAAGGAATAGTTTTTTATGTTGAGGCCATCCAGAACTCGTCTGCTGTTGGCCCCTCTTCTACTCAGCTCAGTGAGTTGGAGAAGAAGAATGTTGATCTAACTGGCAAGCTCTCGGGTGAGTAGACCCATCATGAAAAGAGAATGTCT